AATGATAAAATCTGGAGCAAAAAATAATGTGTTGGACCATCAGTGTTGTATATTTTGCTGGCGTCGTTTCATAATTCTTTTGTGCTGTAAAATGTATTCAGAGGAACCGTGGACGCCAGGGAAATTTCCGGAGAGAGAGAGAGAGAGAGAGAGAGAGAGAGAGAGAGAGAGAGAGAGAGAGAGAGAGAGAGAGAGAGCCAGATAGCCAGACAGACAAAAGTAGATACCCTATTAATTATATTGATATTTAAAAAGATAAAATATAATATGTAGAAAACTATTATAATCACTGTGAACGTAAATAATACTTAACAAAAAAAGGGTCACAGAGAGGACAGGTTATTATTATTGTCAAATCTATTCATCATTGCGTCGTCCCCTAGCCAAAGACTAAAGGAATGTGAAGCTGGACGATTTTAATTATTGATGTAAGTAAAACACTGTGTGGGGTATAAATGAACTGTCGGACGTTACATGACAGGAAAACAGTCTGTGTGGCAGGGACTTCCACACAGTTACTAGTCCGGGGTATAAATGAACTGTTGGGAAAGCACTGTATGGTAGTAGGTTTCACATACTTAATAGTAGGCGGGGGCTCAGCAAGACGAAATATTGACAGTATAAACATAAAGAAAGGATAGGCATGTACCTTCCCAGATGTTCTCATACGCCTTTGCTGATTATTGATGCCTTTGCCTCACCATCATTACTCGTCTAGTAGAGACAATCGTTGACTCTTGTACAGTGCCATTACAAATGCTTTGTATAACAGTTACAATAAACGCATATTAATTTTGTCATTACATATAAAGAATATTGTTCATATTTTTATATTGTTGTTGAGTAGTTTAGATTGTAGTAAACGAAGCTTAAAATCATTACCTGTTGAAGTATTAAAGTAAGAATGTGGTCGGTAGTAATTCGACTCACATATTTCGTCTTTCCAAATATTAAGATCAGATTTTACGTCTTAAAAAATGACAAAGAATTTACTTGTTATATTTACTAAAGGTATTCAAGGATTCGGTTTTTATTATTATTATTATTTAATATCAACGTTATCGAACCAAAAAATCATACATACTTTGTTCGGGTAAGAAAAAAAAATTTAACACAAGGACTTTTTTTATTCTCCTTAGAAAGAAAGTTAACAAGGTTTACTTCTTCTTAAGAGTCTTATGAATAAGTCTCTCCTCCCGTGAGTGGCCCAGACCTCCTCGGCTCGGTCACCTGAGGGAGGGACATTGTTATTATTATTATTACTATTATTATTATTATTATTATTATTATTATTATTATTATTATTATATTTATTATATTATTATTATTATTATTATAGTAGTAGTAGTAGTAGTAGTAGTGCTTGGTGTGACAAATTCTTGTCCATAGTGTATCATTCTGACGTATGGATGGTCGCCCTTGGAGGGGGGGGTAGCATACGCACCCACGCGCGTGCACGTATGCCCCTACTACCTGGACACAGCAGTCAAGCCTGTCACCTCTCTGCCCTTCCCTCATAAGAACCAGTATTATCTTGTGCCTGGGACTAAATCAGATGTTGGGAGGCGGACGTAACTGTCGCGCAAGGTGCTGTTCACTATGCCTGGTAACAATCATTGCTGCGTCTGTGCTAACCCGAACCGAAACTGCACAAATTGTGTTTGTGAGAGAAACTACCGACCATGTGTGGGTTGCAGAAAGGGAAACAATTGTCGGAACCCACAAGGCAGGGAACCGACGCAGGAGGCCACAGTGGATATCGCCAGGACCCAACCGCCCGATGATATCCTAAATGATAGCAGTGAGTCTACTCAACCTGAAAATGTAGTACTAATAAATGCTGCTCCCTTAGTAGCAGATGTCCACGAGGAGAATGAGAGACAGCCACCTCAGTGGAATGGCATGTCGATGGAAAATGCAGACATATAAGTCAAAGAAACCTATTCAGAAATTGTCAAGTGGTCGCCCGCTAACTTATTTGGACCACCCAAGTGTGCGGCCACCAAAGAAATGATTCGGGAGATGACTCGCCTCATGACTGATTATACTCAGGACCGCTTTCTCGCCCCTTTAGCTCTTCAAATACTGGCAATAATACCACATCTATTTTGTCAGAGGACACACACAAAGACCAAGCACAAAGAAAATGTGGCAGCAATGAAGAGAAGATTGGCAATGTGGCAGACTGGGGCCCTTGATGATATCCTATGTGAAGCAAGAACACTGCAGGAGTGACTAAAAATTACGGGTGACGGAAAGCAAAACATCGATGACGTGGCAAGAAAATTTGGAAACAAAATGCGTGTGGGAAAAGTGTCTCTGGCGGTAAAATCTCTCACAGAGGAATCCTCCGGTGGGGTTTTGCCAATAAACAGAAAGACATTAAAACTACTGAAAGAGAAACATCCCCCTGCAAGCGACGAAGAAGGCATCAGGTTCGAGGGTGTCTATACCCCACCAAACGCTGTCCTATTCGAGAAAATAACAGGAGAGATGGTGTGGAAAAAGGCACTGAAGACTCGAGGAGGAGCCGGCCCTTCAGGTCTGGATGCAAACGGTTGGAGAGTCACCCTCAGCACAAACAAGTTTGGCCCTGGAGCAAGCGATCTCTACACTACCATTGCCGCCCTTGCAAGAAAGCTTGCATCCTCTTGCTGCCATCACCTCCAGGCCCTGACGGCCTGCCGCCTTATTACTCTGGAAAAAAAAACTAGGATGTAGGCCTATAGGGGTGGGGGAAGTGCTGAGGCGGATCATCGGAAAATGATGGTGGAAAAGGATGATGTCAGGGCAGCAGCAGGGAACCTACAAGTGTGTGTTGGCCACCAGGCTGGCGGGGAGGTCGCCATTCACGCCATGAGATTTGTATTTGAGCATCGTGATTGTGAAGCCGTTCTCCTGGTGGATGCTTCAAACGCATTCAACATACTTAACCGCAAGGCTGCACTGCACAACATCAAGATCAAGTGTCCAAGCTTTGCAATGTATGTTGAAAATTCGTATAGGAATCCATCAGACCTCTATGTAGTAAACAACAAGGCTCTAAGAGGTGATACCATCTTACAGTCAACCGAGGGAACAACACAGGGGAACCCTGTTGCAATTGCAATGTATGCAATTGGCCTATCAGTGCTCCAACAAGAAATAAAATTTGAAACAAGTGGGGTCAAACAAGTGGTATATGCTGATGACCTTACAGGAGCAGGAAAAGCGGAGAGCATCAAAAAGTGGTGGGACTTGGTAACATCGCGAGGTCCACAAATAGGGTACCACCCAAACGCCAGCAAGTCCTTCCTCATCGTGAGGCCAGAACATTATGAACGGGCAATGGAGGTTTTTGGCGGAAATGAGGTCAAAATAACTAAGGACGGGCAAAGACATCTAGGTGCAGTAATTGGCACTGCGGACTTCAGGACCGAGTATGTAGCGGGAAAGGTGAATGAGTGGGTTAGTGAAATCCAAGCACTGTCTGAGATTGCTAACACAGAGCCACATGCGGCCTTTGCTGTATTCATCCATGGAGTCAAGCATCGTTGGAACTACCAGATGCGTACTATCCCTGATATCGGACCCCTCCTCCACCCTCTGGAAGAAGTTATCAGTGTCATTTTCATTCCTAAATTAGTGAAACACCCTGACTTAACCCCAGCAGAAAGAGCACTTCTTGCACTTCCATCAAGACTGGGAGGGATGGGACTAACAAATCCAGAGGAGATTGCTGCCACTGAACATCAAAATTCACTTAAGCTCACAGCAGCCCTCACGGACCACATAAGAGCCCAGAATGCAACTGGGGACGTGGATACCAGTGAAGTAAATAAGATTCGTAGGTCCATTACGACAGATCGACAGCACTGCCAAAATGATAAGTTGCAGCAACTGTTGCTGCAGGTACCAGAAAATTTGAAAAAAAAGTAGCTATAGCGCAGGAGGTGGGCGCCTCGAACTGGTTAACTACGTTACCGATAAGGGCAAATGGTTTCAGTCTTAATAAACCAGAATTTACAGATGCCATTGCTCTAAGGTATGGACGGCCAGTAGAAGGTTTGCCCTCCCAATGGGTGTGTGGCTCTTCCTATGATGGTGATCACGCCATGGTGTGCAAGAAGGGGGGCTTCATATGCATGAGGCATGACGAGGTAAGGGACCTCACAGCAAATATGTTGAAGGAAATCTGCCGGGATGTCATGGTAGAACCGACCCTCCTTCCATTGGATGGTGAGATCTTCCAACACAGGACTTCAAACACATCTAACGAAGCCCGTGTGGACGTCAGTGCTCGAAGATTCTGGACGCGGGGACAGCGAGCTTTCTTTGACATCAGGATTTTTTATCCCATGGCCGCATGTCACCGTAACCTAGCTCTCGATGCTGCACATAGGAGGAACGAGAACGACAAGAGACGGGTATATGGGCAGAGAATTCAAAACGTTGATCAAGGCAGCTTCACTCCTCTATTGTTCACAACCTCTTGTGGGATGGGACCAAGTGCAAGATGTTTCTACGCCAGACTCGCGGAGGTGATCTCCGAACAGAAGCAGCAGCCCACAAGTTATGTTACAGCCTTGATGAGATGTCGACTGTCTTTCTCTCTCCTTCGGTCGGATTTGCTCTGCCTCAGGGAAACGAGAGCTTCTGCCCCTACTCCGACAACGGCTGCAGATATTGACTATGAGGCTACCGTCACTGAATGCCGCATAGATCTGCGGTTCAACTAATTTAACACAGATAGGATAGCTTCTTATGTATTAGGATATTTAATATTAAGGTAATTAAATGGTGGCGAAGGTGTGGCTATTGGGGGAGGCTGGAGGCCACGTTTAAAAAAAAAACAAAAAATAAAAGTAGTAGTATTAGTAGTAGTAGTAGTAGTACTATTATTATTATTGTTGCTATTATTGCTATTACTATTTTATTATTTTATTATAATTTTATTATTTATTATTTTATCATCATCATCATCTTCATAATTTTCATTATCACCTTCATTACCTTCATCATCATTCAACCTCTTCATCGTCATCTTCATTATTTTCATTATCTTCAGCTTCATCATCTTCATAACCTTCATCACCATCATCTTTACCATATTCTTCAATATCTTCGTCTTCATCATCTTCATCGTCCTTATCTTCATTATCTTAATCTTCATTATCTTCATCATTTTTATCATCCTCATCATCTACATATTCATCATCTTCATCACCCTTGTCATCCTAATCATCTTCAAGTTCATAATCGTCAACTTCATCATCTTCATCTTCATCATCTTCATCATAATTATCATTTGCATTGCTTTTGTCTTCATCATCTTTATCTCCATCACACTCATCTTATTTAGCATTTTCATTATCATCACCTTCACCATCTTCATCTCTTCCATTTTCATTATTTTCATCTTCATCATCTTTATTATCATCATCTTCTTCATCTTCTTCTGCATCTTCTTCATCATCTACATCTTAATCATCTTCATCACCTTCATCATCTTTATCATTTTTATCGCCTTCGTCATCTTCATCGTCTTTATCTTCATCATCTTCATCATTATCATCTTCCTCATCTTCATCATTGTCATCTTCATCATCTTCATCTTCACAATCTTCATCATCATCATCATCATCATATTCATCATCTTCATTTTCATCTCCATCATCTTCGTCTTCATTATTTTTATCTTCATCATCTACATTTTTTATTTTCATCATATTCATCATCCTCATCTTCATCATCCTCATCATCATCATCTTTATATTGTTTCTCTTCATCTTTAACATTTTCATCATTCTCAACTTCATCATCTTCATATTCATTATCTTCATCATTTTCATCATCTTCATCTTCATCATCTTCATCATCTTAAACTTCATCATCTTCATATTCATATTCATCTACATTATTTTCATCTTCAGCATCTTTGTCTCCATCATCCTCATCTTATTTATCATCTTCATTATCATCATCATCTTCATCATCTTGATCTTTGCCATCTTCATCATCTTCGCCATCTTCATTTTCATTATATTTTTCATCTTCAGCTTCAAATGTATTATTTTCATCATCTTCATTTAATCATCTTCATCTTCATTATCTTCATCATCTTCATTTTCCTCCTATTCATCATACTCATCTTCATCTTAAATTAGCTTCATCTTCTTCATCTTCATTATCCTCATCTTCATTACCTTTATCTATAATATCTTCACCGTTTTCAACATATTCATCTTCATCATCTTCACATCTTCTTTATCTTCATCTGCATCATCTTCATCTTCATCCTCACAATCTTCATCTTCATCATATGTATCTTTATCTACATCAGCTTCATTTTCATCATCATCATCATCTTCATCTTCATCATATTCATCCTTATTATCTCTAATATGTTCATCTTCTTTACCTTCATCTTCATCATCTTCATATTAATTATCTTCATCATATTCATCATCTTCATTGTCTAAATTTTTATCATCTTTGTCTTCATCATCCTCATTTTCATCATTTACATCTTCATCATCTTCAATTTCATTATTTTCATCTCCATCATTTTCATCATCTTCATCCTCACCTTAAACTGCATCATCTTCATCTTCATCATCTCCATTATGTTTATCATTATTATATTCACTCTCATCCACATTACCTTCATCAACTTCATGTACATCATCATCATATTTTTCACCTTCATCTTAGTATTATCTTCATCTTCATCATCTTCATCATTTTCATCTTCATCTTCACCATTTTCTTCATCTTCATCATCTTCACCATCTTCATCATTTTCATCCTCATCTTTAACTTCATCATCCTAATCATAATCTTCATCTTCATCATCATCATCATAATCATCATTATCATCATCATTTTCACCATATTCTTCTGTATCATATTCATCAACCTCATCATCTTCATTTACCTCAACTTCATTCTTCATCGTCATTTTCATTATCTTCATCTTCACCATCTTCATCAACTTAATCTTCATGATGTTCATCATTTTCATGTTCATCATCTTCATGTTCATCATCTTCTACATCTTCATCATCTTCATGTTCATCTTCTTCACCATCTTCAACATCTTCATCATCATCATCTTCATCATCTTCATTACCTTCATTTTCATCATCATCATTATTTTCATTTTTACCATCATCTTCATCATCTTCATCATCGTCATCATCTTTATCTTGTTTATCTTTGTCTTCACCTTCATCATCCTCATCGGCATCATCTTTATATCCATCATCCTAATCATGTTCATCATCTTCACCATCATCTCTTCATCATCTTCATCATCTTCATCTTTATCAAATTCATCATCCTCCTCATCTTCTTTTTCACTATCTTTATCATCTTCCTCGTCATCATCTTCATCTTCATCCTCTATCTTCTTCATCTTCATCGAATTGAATTGAATTGAATTGAATTGAAGCAGGTTATTTAGCCAGAAATACACAGATACAGAGTGGATTGTAATAACAATATTAACATAGCTGAGCCAGTTGAGAGCTTGAGCACTATTTTAGGCACCTGAGATATACTATACATTTATCTCAAGGAAGTATTATGTAACAATTAGTAACATCTGGAATAGTACAATAGCATGGTGGTAATAAGAACATCTCATAATGTTACCACGGTTATCACTTCAATATTTATTTATTCTATTTATTTATTGTTTTTATTATTTTTTTTAGCTTACTTTTGTGTTTATTTATATATTACATACATTACATAAATTACAGTGGAATTAAAAAACATAAGTATAATGGGGGAGCAGTACAACCTGGGTTGTACAGTAATAAGGTTGAATAAGAGGTCAGAGCTATCAGGATTATGTCTAGTTGGTAATTATGTTTAATGAAATGGTAATTTCTTATCTATTTACATGACAATTTCCGGTAAAACGGTTTTGATGGTAAAATAAAAGCAGGTACTGTAAATATAGTAGGTATTACAAGAAATATTAATACTTAGACAATAGATATTTTTTAAGAGATGATATAAAGGAAGGTAGTGCAGTCTTTGCTCGGATGGGTGGGGGTAAGTTGTTCCACACCTTCACACTGTGATATTTTATGGAGGTCTGGGAATGAGGGGAGCACGTGGGGGGTGGTCTTAGTAGCTCTGGGTGCCTTAAGTTGTATCCCTGATTATTCAGGAACTGGAAATAATTATTGTCGAGCAAATGATTGATAGATTTGTAATCAAAGAAGGCACAGCAGTAGGTGTTCATATCTTCATCATATTCATCATAATTATTTTCATCATATTTATCATTGTCATCTTCTTTATTTTCATCAACATAATTTTCATCATCTTCTCTTTTATCAATTTAATTTTCATCACCATCATCATCATTATTTTCATCATTTTCATCATCTTCATTACTATTCATCTTTGCCGCCTTCATCATCTTAATCTTCAGCATCTTCATATTAATCATCCTCATCATCTTCATCTTAATTATCATCATCATCTTCATCATCTTAAACTTCATCATCATCATCTTCTTTTTATCATCTTCATTTTCATCATCTTCATCTTCATCTTTTTCATCTTCAGCATCTTAATCTTCATCATATTCATCACCTTCATCTTCACCATCTTCATCATCTTCCCCTTCATCATCATTATCATCTTCTTCATTATCTTCATCTTCATTATTCTTCATCTTCATCATCTTTTTCATCCTCATATTCATCATCTCCATATTAATTATTTTCATAATTTTCATCATCTTCATCATCTGCATCTTTATCATGTTAATCACCTTCGTCATCTTCATCATCTTCAATTTCATCACTTTCATCATCATTTTCATCTTCATTATCTACATCTTTATCATCTTTATCTCCAATATCCTCATCTTATTTATCATCTTCATCTTTGTCATCTTCATCATCTTCATCTTCACAAGCTTCATCTTCATCTTCACCATCTTCATAATCTTCATTATCTTCATTACCTTCATCTTCGTCATCATCATCATTATTTTCATCTTCATCACCTTCACCATCTTCATCTTCATTACCTTCATCCTCATTACCTTCAACATCTTCACCTTCATTATCTTCATCTTCATTATCTTCTTCTTCATCATCATCATCATCATTATCATTTTCAGCTTCATCCTCTCATCATCTCAATCCTTATCATTCATCATTTACATATTCATCATATTCATCATCTTCATCATCTCCATCTTCACTATATTCTTCATTTTCATGTTCATCACCAATATCTTGATCATTTTCATTTTGATCATCTTCATCTTCATCAACTTCATCAACTTCACCATCTTCATCTTCATCATCTTTACCTCCATCATCCTCAGCATACTGATCATCTTCATTTTCATCATCTTCAGCCTCCTCTTTAACATTTCCATCTTTAGAATCTTATTCATCTTCATCATCTTCATCTACACCCTCTTCAATCTTCATCATCATTATCCTCATCATATTCATCATCTTAATGTATTCATTTTTATCATCACCATCTTTGTCTTCATCATCTTCATTTTCATCATTTTCATCTTCATCATCTCCAATTTCATTATTTTTATTTTCTTTATCTTTATCATCTTCATCATCGTTTTCTTTATCACCATCATTTTCATCTTCATCGTCTTCATCTGCATCATCTTCATCTTCATCATCTTCATAATTTTCATCATATTCATTACTTTCATCTTCATCATCTCCATCATCTTCATTTTCTGCTTCATCATCATCACGTTCATCTTTATAATCTTAATCATCTTCATCATGTTCATCATCATTTTCTTCATAATTTTCATATTTATTATTTTCATCATCTTCATCTTCATCATCTTCATCTTCATCATCTTCATAATCTTAATCATCTTCATCTTCTTCATCTCCATAATCTTCATCTTTTTCATCTTCATCATTTTCATCTTCATCATCTTTATCACCTTCAACTTTGTGCAACAATTGTTTATCAGTCCACAGCTTACAGCCCAGAGAAAAACAGCACATATATCTGTGATCGGAGGCACAGGTGTGTACACCCATGTAAGTTGACCCACCCTTCGTAATTAAAGTGAGATTAAGACCTGACCCAAGAGGGGTCACGGTCACAATGAACCAGAATTCTCACTGCCACGCGATTAGCTAAACCCGGCGACATGACCGTGTTACTCAAGAAGCTACCCCCCAGCCAGAACACCTGTCACCTGACCAGACACACCCAGATTAGTGATGACATCTTCCGGCTTGTCATCGCCAATATAAGAGTCTGCAGCTGCCTCCACGAGCATTTGCATTCGGATCATTATTGTAACAGGGACGAGGTCGACAGCTCCTCCCCACAGGGAGACTTCTCTCCCTGCCACCGCATCTCCAGCTAGCAGTCTCCCATAGGAGACATTGTCCAGCAGCACCTGATGGACCTCCCTCAGGTCACACGTGCGTCATTGTCAGAGCTGTCCATAGGGTGAGTTACTTGCGGGTGGGAAGTGTATCCATTTCATGTTTGTTGTCCGAGAGTCATTGTATAATAACGTAAATATAATGATCTATTAATGTGTGTGTGTGTCATTGAGGTAATTAATAAATAGTTGTATTGAAAGTAGTTTTTAGAAAGATTTCCCCTAAGAATATATTTACAGTTTAAATAACTAGCCGGCCATGCTACCAATCTTCTTCACTTTACAATCCTACAACTAATAACTTCTTACTATTATTTCTACTTAAGATCATCTCATTAAATTCGTCATTGTATAGATATGTACATACCAAGATGTGTGAACGCGCCTGACACCAGGACTCTTGTTACCATTCGTTGTACCATTTATTCGCATGTCTGTATTACTACATATTATTATAGCATGTCTGATGTCCATGCTTATGTCTAATGCCTATGTTCATTTACTATGTCCCGATGTACTATGTCTGTACCGCGCTAGTCGAGTAATTAGAAGACCTCATTTATTGTCCTAGGAATGTCTAGCAACTCCCCTTGCCTGGCTAGCTAATTTCCCTCAGATCGGCCTCGGCCTACCTACGGTCCGGGGTCCCTAGTAACCGCTCCTGTATCGGTTGGCTATCACGCCCAGTCTTGTACCACTTGTTGAATATATCTACTGCTCGTGCCCTGGAGTTTCAAGAACCTTGTCTAGGATTACATCCACCACACCACATGGCGCAGTTTGAGTAGCTCCAACACGACAGTTTACAAGCCTCAAGAGCCGGCCTCGTCTGTCCCGGCCTCGTCTGTTTCCCGCCCAGAAGATATACTCCACAGTGCCCCTGGATTTAAAGTGCTTTGTGACCTTGTGAAGTGCCCTAAGTGAAGTGCAGTGCCTTTCATGTCTCTTTGCTATGTTTCTGCGGCCCTACAGGTAGCAGACACGCCTCCAGCCCAGTTTCCAAGACAGCACTTCCGGCATACACCCCCCATCCACGGAGGCTCGCAAGCCACTGCCCGCGTCCCCTTACCACCAGCATCTCGCCCGGGCGCGCGGAGGAATACACCGCCGCTAGCCGCCTCCTCTCACTTCACAAATATTACAGTCAGTACTCTTTTACTTGCCAGCCAGTTCCTGCACTTAAGCAAATCCATTGGCGAAAATATAGCACTTCACCTTATTCTCCTTGTCTTTCCCATCGCAACAATACCAAGCACGAGATGTCTGACCACGACGATTTGCTGGGAAATTTATATGAGGATTATGAGGAAGACGACGCCTCACAGACCCTCCCACCCCCCCTCACGCCTCACACGCCGGGCGCGCCAAATTCAAAGGATGGGAGCCAGGATATACGTCAGTTAATCCACTTCCTACAAGTTTCTCAAGAGAAGGAAGCCCAAAGACGTCAATTAGAGGAGGAAAAACGACGTCAAGAGGAATTGTCAAGACAGTCAGAGGAATCAGCTTACCGCCTTCAACTTCAACAACAACACCAAGCTGATAACCGCAAATTCCTGGACCTATTGGAATTGCTGGCAACGAGGACGACTTCACCAGCTGCCACAACCAATTCGCCAGCTTCAGCCTCTTCATCTATCCTTCAGACAACGCCTCCTCACACGTCACCTATCTCCCCTAGGTATGCCTCAGTGTCTTCTCAACCACCTGTTCCAGTCTCAACTCTCGTCGACCTCTCCGTGCCTCCTCCACCGCCTGCCGTCTCGAGTACACCCCTGCACAGCAAGTCTTCAGTTCCCAGCCCCCCACCTCTTCAATCTGATGCAACATATCAAGTATACCGTCAATGGCGACGTCGTTTCGAAGACTTTGCTGTTATGTCTGACCTCTACCGAATGCCCCCTCATAAACAACTCATCCAATTAAGATCGTGCATTTCCCTCGATGTTCAACGCCTCCTAGAGCACACGCTAGCCATCCCCCCTGACTCCCCCAGGTCAGTGACAGAGGTTTTAAACGCCTTGCAGAGTCATTTCCGTGGCCTCCGCAATGAAGCTTTGCGTCGTAGGGAACTGCTATCCTGCAAACAAGCTTCTGGGGAATCATTCTCAGACTTCTATGCACGACTTAAGGACCTAGCAACCGAGGTGGACCTATGTACAGGCGATCCTGTAACCTGTGCTGAGATCCAGCTCAAGATGATCTTGCTGATGGGTGTACGTGACGAGGACCTGCTTCAGAAACTCCTCACCCTCGACGCCGCCTCTTCCCTCACCGACTTCGTCACCTGTTGCAGGTCGTATGAGGCCACAAGAGAGGCTGCCTCAGCTATACACTCATCGCCATCTCAAGTCCACGCCGTCTCCACCTACAAGAGGAATCAACGCCAGATGCAGACGACGTCCTCTCCACAGCCCCCGTCACAGTCACCAGTTTCTTCTCCCGAATCCTGCAGAAACTGTCAGCACCAGCATGGTCCAGGAAAGTGCCCTGCGGCTGATAGTACATGTCGAAACTGTGGGTTTCAAGGCCATTGGCCCCGCACACCTCGATGTCCTGCCAACAAGGCCTCATGCAACGCTTGCAACAAGCAAGGACACTTCGCCAAGTGTTGCAGGTCCACCAAGAAGCCTCCATCTCCAGGTCAAAACGTCTCTTCACAGCCCGACAGAACGTCCACACCACCGTCTCCCAAGAATAACAAAGGATGCCGACGCGTGGATGATACCTCGAGTGACAGGTCCCCCAAGCCCGTCAATGTTCGTCTGTCCTACGGTACCAACTCTTCCAACCTCCTGATGATACCTGACACGGGCGCGGACATCACGGTGATTGGACCAACACACCTGGACGCCCTCAACATCCCCAGGAGTAGCCTGTCACCCACAGCCATGAACGACGTGCTCACAGCGGACGGGTCCCCGATGTCTCCACCTTTGGGTTGCTTCAAGGCAACACTACAGCTCGGTCCCAAGTCTTGCCTTGCCACAGTCCACGTCCATGAGGGCATCCAAACCCCTCTCTTGTCATGTGGCCATTGTCAGGACTTGGCCATCGTCTCATCCGAGTTCCCAAAGCCCATCCTCGCTGTGACACACCTCAACAGGTGTGCAGAGATACCTGTTTCAGCCATGACCACACCTGCTGCCGCCCGGGAGTTCTTTTTTCGTCAGTTCAGCGACGTCCTTGTCTCCAAGCCCGACCTCCAGAAGACGCCGCTCAAGAAGATGACAGGCCCCCCGATGAGAATCCACCTCAAGCCTGGCGCGACGCCTTTCGCCATCCACACACCCAGGCCTATCCCCTTTGCCATACGGGACAAGGTGAAGGCGGAGCTCGATTCTCTGGTGCAGCAGGGGATCATCAGACACGCCGGTGAGGAGCCCTCCGAGTGGTGCCACCCTATGGTCTTGGCACCCAAGCCTGTAGGTGTTCGCATCACAGTGGACCTCACCCATCTCAACTCGCAGGTCTCCCGTCCCGCCCATCCATCGCCTACGCCCATCCAAGCAGTCCGCAGCGTCACCCCGTCTGCAAAGTTCTTTACCACGGCGGATGCACTACATGGGTACTGGCAAGTCGACCTGGCGGAAGAAGATCGCCACCTCACTACATTCATCACGCCCTACGGCCGCTTCCAACACTGCCGCGGACCCATGGGCTTCGCAGCAACGGGGGATGCGTACTGCCTCCGTGGGGATATGGCTCTGCAGGGTGTCACCAACTGCGTGAAGGTCGTAGATGACATCCTGCTCTTCGACGATGATCTCCCGGCCCACTTGAACCGAGTTCATCTGATGCTCACAAGATGTCGTGCCCATGGTATCACCCTGAACAAAGATAAATTTGTGGTCGCCGCCCCCCAAGTTAACTACTGCGGCTACAACATCTCGCCAGAGGGGATCTCAGCTGATGAGGAGAAGGTCAAGGCCATCAGGGACTTCCCTACTCCAGCGAACCTGACCGACCTTCGCTCATTTATGGGCCTGGTAAATCAGCTGGCCGACTTCTCCCCTAAAATCGCCACATCAGCCCAACCTCTACGCCCCCTCATGAGCCCCAAGCGCTCTTTCCTCTGGACTCCTGACCACGACCTAGCGTTCAGGAATGTTAAGAAGGCGTTGCTGTCACCACCAGTCCTGGCACCCTTCGACCCGTCCTTACCAGTGGTCCTCCAGACCGACGCCTCCCGTCTATACGGCCTCGGATATGCCCTCCTTCAAGACCACGGCCAGGGTAGACTGTGCTTAGTTCAGTGTGGCTCCAGGTTTTTGACGGACACGGAGACCAGATACGCCACCATTGAACTAGAGATGCTGGCAGTCGCCTGGGCTATGGCCAAGTGCCGCCTTTACCTGTTCGGCCTTGGGCATTTCACCCTCATGACGGACCATCGCCCGCTCATACCCATTCTTAATCACTACACGTTGGACGCCATCGAAAATCCTCGCCTCCAACGTCTCAAAGAGAAGACCGCCCCTTACGTCTTTACAGCTGTGTGGCGCGCCGGGAAGCTTCTGTGCATACCAGACGCCCTCTCCCGAGCCCCTGTTAGTCGCCCCACACCCGAAGATGAAGTCGACTGTACCATGGCCGCTGCTCACGTTCGGTCTTTAGTGACACACACAGCCACTTCTCTTGCTGACAAGACGACGACGACGCCCTCCATCGAAGACGATAGGACTCTCCAGGAGCTTCGCATCGCCGCCGCTCAAGACCCGGCATACGTCCAACTCCTCGACTACGTCTCCGCTGGATTCCCCACCAACCGCTACGACATTCACGCCTCCGCCCTCCCCTTCTGGAAGCTAAGGGATAGCCTCTATGCGGACGGAGAGCTGGTGTTGTACGGCCCCAGGATCGTCGTTCCCGCTGCCCTCCGCCGGCGCACCTTATCCCGCCTCCATGACAGCCACCGCGGCGTTGAAGCCACCAGGCGCAGAGCCCGTCAGACCGTCTTCTGGCCTGGTATTGACGCCGATATTAAGAGCACGGTTGAGGCCTGTGAGCCTTGCCAGCAACTCCAACCCAGCCAGCAACAAGAGCCGTACCTGTGCAATGACCTCCCAAAGCGGCCCTTTGAGTCCGTGTCCGCCGACTTCTTTAATGTGGCCGGAAAGTCTTTCCTGGTGGTCGCCGACAGGCTCTCTGGATGGCCCGTGGTAGTTCCCTGTGGTCGGGACACCACCTCTTCCAGGGTCATCCGGATGTTTTGTTGCTTCTTCCGGGAAGTCGGAGTGCCTCTCCGCCTCCGAACCGACGGTGGGCCCCCGTTCAATAGCCACGAGTTCAAGAGCTTCGCCGAACGCTGGGGCGTCCACCACATCGTCACCTCCCCTCATTACCCGCAGGCGAATGGCCACGCCGAGGCAGCGGTAAAGTCCGTAAAATACCTCATCCTCAAGACAGCACCGACGGGGAACCTGGACTGCGAGGAGTTCGACAGGGGCCTACTGGAACTCCGTAACACCCCTACCCCTGCCGGACGCTCTCCTGCCCAGGTGTTGTATGGCCGCCCCCTTCGTACTTGTGTGCCTGCCCACCCCCAGTCCTTCTTAGATGAATGGCAGATCAAGGCGGACGAGTGTGACCGCCGTGAGGCTGCCCGGATGGCCCAAGTGACAAGCCACTATGACGCCCAAGCCCGCCCCCTTCCCAGGTTGGCCGTCGGCCAGCAAGTACGAATCCAGGACCCGACGTCACACCGCTGGGACAAGGTTGGGGTCGTCATGGGCCGTGGCGAGCCTCGTTCGTACCAAGTCCGCCTCCCCAGTGGTCGTGTGTGGTGGCGAAACAGACGCCACCTCCGCCCAGTGCCATCCTCTAGTGACGAACCTTCCTCCCCGTCCCCTGTGTCCCCTTGCCCAGACCAGGAACGAAGGTCGTCAGTTGATCCTCCCATTGTCCCTCGCCGCTCCCCCCGACTCATGGAAAAAGAGTCCGTAGCCGCTCGAGATTGCACTACGAGCGTAAAGGGGGAGGGAGGTGTATAGATATGTACATACCAAGATGTGTGAACGCGCCTGACACCAGGACTCTTGTTACCATTCGTTGTACCATTTATTCGCATGTCTGTATTACTACATATTATTATAGCATGTCTGATGTCCATGCTTATGTCTAATGCCTATGTTCATTTACTATGTCCCGATGTACTATGTCTGTACCGCGCTAGTCGAGTAATTAGAAGACCTCATTTATTGTCCTAGGAATGTCTAGCAACTCCCCTTGCCTGGCTAGCTAATTTCCCTCAGATCGGCCTCGGCCTACCTACGGTCCGGGGTCCCTAGTAATCGCTCCTGTATCGGTTGGCTATCACGCCCAGTCTTGTACACTTATTGAATATATCTACTGCTCGTGCCCTGGAGTTTCAAGAACCTTGTCTAGGATTACATCCACCACACACACAGTCATCTTCATCATTTTCATCTTCATCATCTTCATCATCTAAATCTTTATCATCTTCATCATTTTATTTTTTTAATTTTCATCATCTTCATCCCCATTATCTTCATCTTCATCATCTTCGTCATTTTCATAATCTTCATCTTCATCATCACCATCATTATCATCTTCATTATGTACATCTTCATCATCTTCGTCAACTGCATCATCTAAATCTTCATGATATCCTTCATCTTCATCATCTTCATCATCTTCATCTTCACCATCTTCTTCATCTTCATGCTCATCACCAACATCTTGATCATCTTCATCTTCATGATCTTTACCTCTATCATCTTCATGATATTTATCATCTTCATTTTCATCATCTTTATCTTCATCTTTATCATTTTCATCTTTAGAATCTTCTTCATCTTCATCGTCATTAACTTCGTCTTCATCTTCACCACCTTTTTCTTTATCATCATCATATTCATCTTCATCATCTTCATCTGCATCATCTTCATCTTCTTCATTACCTTCATATTTATCTTCTTCATCTGCATCACCTGCTTCATCATCATCATCTTCATCATCATCATACTCACCATCTTTTTTCATATTAATCATCTTTATCATCTTCATCTTCATTATCTTCATATTCACCATCTTCATTTTTGGCTTCATCATTTACAACATTTTTATTACCTTCATCTTCATCATCTTCATTTTCACCATCTCCATCATCTTTATCACCTGTATATCTTCATCTTCATTAACTTCATCATCTTCATCTACATCATCTTTATATTCGTCATCTTCATCTTCATTATCTTTATCTTCATCATCTTCATCATCTTCATCTTCATCATCTTCATGTTCATCTTATTGACATTCATATTCATGCTCATCATCTTCAAGATCTTCAACATTTTCATCCTAATCTTCATCATTTTCATCTGTATCATCTCCATCATGCTCATCATTTTCATCTACACCATCCTCAAAGTCTTCACCTTCATCTTCATCATGTTCATTATCTTCACGTACATCATCTTCATGTTCATCATCTTCACCATATTCATCATCTTTGTCCTTTTCATCTTCAATATCTTTATCTCCATCATCCTAATCATATTCATCACCTTCATCATGAGCTTCAATATCTTCATCTTAATCATCATCTTCATTTTTATCATCTCCTTTCACCACCTCGTCTTTTTTTCATTATCTTCATCTTCATTATCTTCATATTCATCATCTTCATCATTATAGTAAATCTTTGTCAGATCAAACTAAGCCAGATTGTGAGATTGGATTAATCGCCTCAGGGACTATCTTAGATACTACACTTGATATTGCTGTCTATGTGTGCCATCAGTTCTCTGTGATGGAAGCTTTGGTCTTGGCGGGAGGTGTAATGATTGAATATCAGATCAAAGCTTACAGCCCAGAATTACAACACATAAAACAGCAAATACAGTACAGACCACATGGTACCGTAACACCACAGGTTGACACACCTCAGGTCAAGACCTGACCCCGGCCTAAGTACTTGCATAACCCTACGATATAACAGTGTTAAGGAAACCACACCTGGCCAAGACCCACCCGGGCGGTAATAATTACAAAGCACTACTGTACTGGGACATGGCCACACCTGGGCAAACAGCTGTCCAGACCTGACCCAAGGGAGATCAAGGACCCGCTAATCAGCCAGCACCCCTGTTACCCAACCCAACAACCCGGTCAAGACACACCCACTTAAGTAGGAGAGGTCACCCTCCGGCTCCTCCAATATATAGGGGTTGGAGCTCCTCTCGCCAAGGAAGGCCAGCATCCACGTCCCCTGTCCGGCTCATCAAAGAAGTCCGTCACTAAAGGCAAAGAGGTCTCAGCCGGGTCCATCGACAGAGTGCTGTCAATTCAACGTATAACAGTAAGTGCTGGCTGTGTAGGCGGTAGAGGTGCAGTGATCCCGAACCTCCCAACGATCGACTTAGTGAAGTGCCCATTCGACTTGTGAAGTTAAACGAACCTATCATAGTCTACCATACCCTGTGTATGACCCCCCATTAATTTCTCCTATGCAACTAGTAAAATAAAGCTGTAACATGCATTTGTGTTCTATATACTACACTTGTACTAAGCCTGTGTTAATATACGTAGTCACCCCCCACACCCTCGAAACACGCTACCAAACTTCCTGTCTTTACATCCTCCTACTATAAATATTCTACCTATATGTAATATCCTCTTCTGGTGAGTTTTGTCTCATTTCATCATCATTAGCTTCATCATCATCTTCATCATCTTCAAATTTATGATCTTCATTTTCATAATCTTCATTTTCATCATCTGCATCGTCATCATCTTCATCTTTGTCATTTTCATCATCGTCATCTTAGTCATTTTCATCATCTTCATCTTTGTCATTTTCATCATCTTCATCATATTCATCATCTTTATCATCTTCATCAAATTCAACACCCTCATCTTCATTACCTTCATCATTTTCATGATTTTCATCTTCATCATCTTCATATTCGTCATCTTCATATTCACCATCTTCATTTTCGTCTTCATCATCTTCATCACATCCCATCTTCAATGCTTTCATTATCTTCACCATCCTCATCTTCATCATCTTTATATTCTTTATCTTCCTCTTTATTATCTTCATCATATTGATGTTCATCATCTTCATGCCCATCATCTTCAACTTTTTCATCATTTTCATCTTCATCATATTTATCTCCATCATCCCAATGATATTCATAATCTTCATCATCATCATAATCATAATTTTTAACCTCATGATCTTCAACTTTATCATCTTTGTCATCATCATAATCTTCATCTACATCACGTTCAAATTCTTCACCCTCATCTCTGTCATCCTCATTTTATTTATCATCTCCACCATCATCATCTTCATCTTTGTCATCCTTATCAACTTCATCATGATTTTCATTATCTTCATCTTCATCACCTTCATCTTCATTATCTTCATCTTCATCATCTTTTCTTTATCATAAGCTTCATCTTCATCATCTTTTCTTTATCATCATCTTCATCTTCATCATCTTTTCTTTATCATCATCTTCATCTTCATCATCTTTTCTTTATCATCATCTTCATCTTCATCATCTTTTCTTTATTGTCATCTTCATCATCTTCATCATCTTCATCATCTTCATAATCTTCATCATTTTCATTACTTTGATCATCATCATCTCCTTCATCTTCATCATCTGCTGCATCTTCATCATTTTCATCTTCATCATATTCATATTCAGAATCTTTATTTTTATCTTCATCATCTTTATCTTTGTTATCTTTATCTTCATTATCTTCATCTTCATCATCTTCATCATCTTTTTCTTTATCATCATTTTCATCATCTTCACCATCTTCATCTGCAGCACCTTCATCATCTTCATCTGCAGCATCTTCATCATCATATTCATCATCATATTCATCTTCATAATCTTCATCATATTCATTACCTTAATCTTCATCTTCATCATCTTCATCATCTTAATCTTCATATTCACCGTCTTCATTTTCGTCTTCATCATCTTGTAATGAGTTAAATTAATACATATATACAGTATATGCTGATAACCACAAGGAAAGAAGAAAACACGAAGTTCCCAAGCGCTTTCGTGTAAGTCACATCTTCAGGGGTGAGTACAGACTCACCCCTGAAGATGTGAATTACACGAAAGTGCTTGGGAACTTCGTGTTTTCTTCTTTCCTTGTGGTTATCAGCATATACCTGGATCACGCGCAACTACAGTGATTTACTTGCATATATACAGTATATAGACGTTACTAGCGTGGCCGATTCGTTACTTTCAACTTGGTAATATATTCTTAGGGGAATTCCTCAAACCAAAGTCAACTCTAAGTACGACCATTTATTAATAACTCAATTGCATAGACACATTAACAGATCACTATATCGAAGTTACTATACACTGAATCTCGAATACATAAGAACATAAGAAAATAAGGAGTTTGCAATAGGCCGGTTGGCCTGTTCATGGCAGCTCCTGTCGAGAGTTACTACAACTCTCTGTCATCCATGAATCTATCTAGCCTCCTTTTAAGACTTTCCAGCATTCCAGCACTTGCTACGAGGGTGCTAAGCTTGTTCCACTCGTCCACCACCCTATTTGTGAACCAGTTCCTTCCTTCCTAACCCTAAACTTATCCAACTTAAATCCGTTGCTACGAGTCCTGTCCTGCTCTGATATTATAAGAACTTTATCTATATCGCCTTTATTGATTCCTTTCACCCACTTAAATACTTCTATTATATCTCCCCGCATTCTTCGTCTTTCTAGGAAAAGCAAGTTTACTTTCTTTAACCTATCTTGATATGGAAGGTTTCTAAGTCCCGGAATCATTTTCGTCATTCTTCGCTGAACAGACTCCGGTGAATTGATATCCATTCTATAATAAGGGCACCAGAACTGAACTGCATAATCGAGGTGCGGCCTGACTAGCTCAAGATATAGTTGCAATAAGACCTCTGCACTCTTATTACTTACACTTCTAGATATAAAACCTAATACTCTGTTTGCCTTATTTCGAACATTAACGCACTGTTTTCGAGGCTGTAGGTCTGGGCTTACAAGTACTCCTAAGTCTCTTTCACAAGTCGACTTCTCTAGGTTGATTTTGTTAAGGCTGTATACATAATAAGTATTTGTTCTTCCAATATTAAGTACACTGCACTTGCTGGTGTTGAATTTCATTTGCCATTTTCTTTCCACTCATGCAGTTTATTTAAATCCTCCTGTAGTGCATTTGCATCCTGCCCTGAATTAATCTGCCGCCCTATTTTGGTGTCATCCGCAAATTTGCTTATGTCACTGCTGATCCCAGTATCTAGATCGTTTATGTAGATTATGAACAAGAGTGGGCCCAGTACTGACCCCTGGGGATACCCACGGGTTACACAGCCCCACTAAGATTTAACACCATCTACGCTGACCCTCTGTGTTCTATCGGTAAGCCATGATTTTATCCAATTTAAAACTTTCCCCTCGATACCATAAGCCTTAACTTTTCTCAGAAGCATCTGATGTAGTGTCTGTCAAACGCTTTGCTAAAGTCTAAGTACATAACATCGTAGTTTTAGTCATTATCTACTACCTCTAAGACTTTCCTGAAAAACGTCAGCAGATTTGTTAGACAGGATTTTCCCTTTGTAAACCCATGTTGAGAGTTGTAGATTAATTTGTATTTCTCTAAATACGTTCGGATGCTATTTGCTATAATTGATTCAAGAAATTTCCCCACTACTGACGTCGAACTAATCGGCCGGTAATTTGACGTTGATGCTCTGTTTCCCTTTTTTAATATGAGTACTACATTTGCCTGTTTCCACAAGTCTGGCACAACTCCCGTGTCTAATGATTTTGTAAATAAATTTACGAGGGGTCCGCTAATCTGTTCCTTACACTCTTTCTAAACTCGAGGGAAGATTTCATCCGGCACTGGGGATTTTGTCTTCTTTAATTTATTTATCTTCTTAAGAACATCCTCTTTTCTGATTGTGATATTCTTTAATTTCTCTTCTTCATATCCCCTAAATATCAGTTCCACTTCTGGAATTTCCTCATGAATTTCTTCTGTGGAAACTGATAAGTTGCTGAGTAATGCTTTGCTTATTTTCTCAGTATCATCGATCATTTCTCCTCTCTCTGACTTAAAAGGTCCCACTTTGTCCTTGACCTTTGTCCTATATACCTGGAAAAATCCCCTGGGATTCGCCTTGGATTCTCTTGCTATCCTGATTTCGTAGTCCCTCTTTGCCTTCCTTACATTTTTCTTAACATTCCTAGATAGTTCATTATACCTATTTCTGAGCTGCTCCTCCCCTCCCTTTAATTTCTTATAGATTCCTTTCTTTATTCCTATGTCATGTTTAAGTTTTTTGGTCATCCACCTTGGCTCGTTCTTATTTGACCTAATTTTTCTGTATGGTATATTTTGTTCTTGTGCTTTACGAAGTATTCGAGTGAATATATAATAGTCATTATTAATTGTTGTGTCGCCTGTGACCTCACTCGTTCCTACAGGGAGGATGACCTGACTGTTCCTAGGCGACGTCACCTAGGTACCTTCTTAACCCCCCATAATCCCCCGATCGAAAGTTTGGGACTCTGACCATATTGCCATTATTTTTCGTTTCCCAGTTTAGGGTGAACCTAGTTTCTCTGTGATCACTGTTCCCTAGTTCTTCCCCTAATGTGATATCTCTGATAGTATTTTCTTTATTTTTTAATACTAGATCTAATATATTTTTACCTCTAGTAGGTTCTGTAATTAGTTGTTTTAAAAAATTTTCCTGTACTGTATCTAGGAAATCTTCAGATTCATAGTCACTTACAATGTTGTCCCAGTCAATATTTTTAAAGTTGAAATCCCCCACAATGCATAGGTTGTTGTATTTTGCTGCCCTACTCGTTTCCTGCCATATGGGCTGAACTGCTTCTTTCCCAAGACTTGGGTGCCTGTAACTCACTCTCATAATTATTTTTCTCTTCCTTCCGCAATTTCTACCCATACAGACTCGGTTCCTATTTCACCCTTTATTGAATTATTAATACAACATTTTAATGTATCCCTGACAAAGAGTGCAACCCCTCCCCCTTTCCTACCTTCCCTGTCCTTGTGAAAAAGGTTGTACCCTTCAATGTTTCAGTGATTGCTATGACGTCTACATTCTCAGTACATACAGCCACTCTCAGCAAGTCTATTTTATTTCTAACACTCCTACCGGTTGTATAGTATACATTTAAACCTACCCTTCCCTGGTCCTGTTTTACCCCTTGTCCTGAGTAACCAATTTTACTCCCCAGGGCCTGCTTGCTTTTTGATGCCCACTTACCCCAACCTCTCTCTACTGGCAAAACCCCCCCTTTGGAGTGACAATTTCATGCACCAGGGATGCAGACAACGTCTTTGCCCCGGCGAGAGACAAGTGTACTCCGTCATGACTGTACAGGTAGTCGTTGCCATAGAATCGTCGCCAGTTATCAATGAGCGCCCAACCATTGCTTGTACAATGTTTTTCCAGTCGGCAATTTATAGCAATTGCCCTGGACAGCCATTCACCACTAACTCCTCTTCTAGGCAAGACACCACATACTATCGGGATCCCTACCCTATCTCCAACCTTCCCTAGCGCCTCCCTCTACCTCTTGAAAAGTTCCTCACTCCTTACCTTCCCTATGATGTTATCTCCTACACTAAGACACAGTACTGTCTTGGCACCCTCCCCTGACAAAACCCTACCTATCCTCTCAGCTACATGCCCTATCCCAGCCCCAGGAAAACACACCCTAGACCTGCATTTCCTATCTCTTGCACAAAAAGTCCTATCTAAAAACCTCATCTGGCTGTCCCCAACTACCACGACCTTACCACTGGGCAGGGTTTGAACAACTGCCCTTTTTTTTCTGGCACCACACCGTACTGCCTCTTCTCTTCCTCGCCAGCTTCCTCCAACACTTGATAGGGGTTACTGCACTCCACACTCTGGTCAACTCTCCTTAGTCTGACCCTAGTCCCCTTGGAAACAACCACTCTCCACGCCTGTTCCTCCTACCCTACGAGTGGAGATTATAGGAAAGTGCTTAGGTTCAGTAGGAGGAGCAGGAGTAGGAGGGATAAAGTTGGAATCGTCAAAGGTGGCGTTAGAGGAGAATAAGGTGTTAAAGAGATTGGCTTTATCATGGGGAGAGTTGGCTATAGAGTAATCAGGTCGAAAGAGAAGAGGAAAAGAGGGAATGCAGAAGTTATTACAGGTATTTTTGGATAAAGAACAGAGGGATTTACTAGAAGAAGAGTTAATCAGGTGGACAGTCATTCTTTTTATAAAATTCCGCTTGGCCCTTCGAAGAATAATCTTACAAGGATTCCTTGAAGTAATGAAAGAGGAGTGGGTAACAGGAGGAGACAGTTTCATAACTTGATACGCCCTAACTCTTTCCCTACATGCAGGAGAACAGGAAGGATCAATCCATGATTGTAAAGTGAAAGTTCTGAGGGAGTGTGCTGAAATTCTGGCCCTGTGTTTGCTCGCATCTTTCGCCTTTGACTCAAAACCTAAACTTTTCCTTCTTCTTGAAAGCATGCCTTGGTTCAGCCCATCCCGACGAAGGGTGACCATTCCAATCCCTCTAACTATCGCCCCATTGCCATAACTTCATCACACTCTTAAGATTTTCGAAACAATCTTAAACTCTCATTTTCTACGTCACTTTTGTAGGTTATGTATCTATGCTACTGTGCCGAGTAGCAACCTTGTAAATAAGCTACTGTGCCGAGTAGCATTTATATATGTAAT